TTAAGTTTACTGTTTTATTGTGATTTGAGTGAGAGTTTACAGCGTAATTTTTTTTCTATTCAAAATTCATATACATTGTTTGGTGACAATGATTACAATCTTCAACGTATAACAGCACTCTTCCCACTTCCTCTTTGTTTCCCATTTCCAAGCTTCCTTATTTCTCACCCTATCCTGTCTGCTGAGCTTTGTTGTTATTGTTGATGAGGACCATCAAGTTGGAGTCAACCCATAGCTGACCCTCCAGCAGGTTTTCAGAGACAGTAAATGCTGACCTTTTATAATGTATGATTGGTCTAAAAAGAACATTCCTCCCAGGTGAAACTGATCACTCTATGTTGTTGTTGTTGTTAGGTGCCTTTAAGTGGACTATTACTCATAGTGACTCTATAAACAAGAGCTCTGAATCTTGCCCTATCCTGTGATATAGTTGAGCCCATTGTACAAATCACTCTGTAGGCCTGTCTACTGTTTGCCTGAAAGTTAAGTCATAAGAGTGATTTCAATTCCAGGCTTAAAGAGTCAGGGTTAAAATCTTGGAGATTCCACCAGTCTCTCTATAAACCCAGACTTTTACAAAGTTATTGGGACTTTTATTCCACATTCTTTTCCCACTCTGCTAGTGACCTTCTGTCGTGATCTCTTCTAAAGCGATTAGCAGTAGCAGACGGGCACCATCTGGTTCTTTTGGTCTCAGAGTCAAGGAGATTGGAGTTCTTCTGAACAAATAGTCTTTTATTTTCTCCACTCTGCTCCTGATAGAGAAGGACTAATAACTGCACCTTCAGTAGCTGCTTGTAAGCTTTTAAGAGTATAACTTACAAAATAGAAGATCTTGTGATTTACAACCTCTGAAACCCACAGGAGGCTCAGCTATCAATTGGTTCTGCCTTGGCAGCAATGAGTGAGTGAGACCAGAAGTAGTTGGTGCCCTAGATGGTCCCAAAAAGAGATCACAGAGAAGATCCTGAGTAGCATGAAGGATAAAAACCTCAAAAACATAAAAAGGGCCAGGCTAAAACTGGTCTGGTATTGGTGAACAATTCTCCTTGACCCCCCAACATTAAGATCCTTAGTCACCCCTTGAACGTGCAAAACTCACATCCAAGGCTCAACTTTCAGCAAAACAATAGCCAGGCCTATAAGGTGACCAGTAACACCAGGGAGGCACTCACTCTTAGAATAACAACCACATAAGGCCCAAAGAGCAGCATTTGCCCAAGAATAAACCCTGAAAGCAGGAAGAGGCAGGACAGAGGAATTCATGGAAATGAGAATTGCAGGGAAGATGTGGGGAAAGTATGAACACAGTGTAGTTATTACATTTAATGTTAGAAAACAAAGTGTGTATGAGTAGTTATCAAAAACTAATTTGTTTTGTAAACTTTCACTCAAATTACAGTAACAGCAGTAATTTTAAAAAGTCAACTTAGGGCCTCACCAGGCTGAGTAGAAGGTGCTAGTCCAAACTGGCAGGATGGGACCCGTGAAAACAGTACCTTCACTAACATCACGGGGAGTAAGAATTCTCATTAATAGCACAGATTCAATTCTCAGGTCAATGAGATCAGACATGCTCCCTGTGGTGTTAGCCTAAAAGTTGGCTTTATTTAAATCCATTCGTTATCACTTCAGGTCCCCAGCAAACTTAATTGCAGACACATGGTCTTGAAAACCAATATAGTCTTACTAATCATCAACAACTGAAACAACAATATAAAGAGAACACTCTCCACACCAGAGGATGTATGAAAACACAAATTGGCCAGTGTGACTGTGTTTAAGCTTCCTACTGCATACAGCCTGGCCCATTGCTCACCAGTTTCTAAGAAAACAAAAACAAAATGTCTAGCCTGCATGCCTACAGTCACATGAATTATTCCCCTGAGGGATCTGAGTCCCTGGAGGACTTTCTAGCAAATCTTCGAACCTGTAGGACATAGAGGAATTGGGGAACTGAGCCACAGATGGACCTGTTAATAGAAAGTATGGACTTATACAACTGGTTAAGCATTTGGGAGTAGAGTACGCTGACCTGAGGCTTCTCATAAATAGCCTGCTATTAGTCTTAGCAGGACAAATTATAAAAGACACTTCCACATACCAAACCTTCTTCTTCAGCTCTAAAACTCTCAAGCCAGGAAACTCCTCAGTGGTTTTAGTAAAAGGTCTACGCACATTGGTGGATCTGTAAGTTTTGCTGGGCTGAAGACAACCTGGATCCAGGGAGGATATGCCTTGGGATATCCTCCCAAGGGGACCAAGTAGAAGACTTCGAGTTTGTGTAGAGCTGACTGCATGCCTGGTGAGGAGGAAGCCTGGCACAGTGGATCCTGGCCCTATCACCTTCTGGTTGTGTAACAAGAGGCAGCTTTCTTCCTATCTCTTAGACTGTGGCTTTCTGAGAATGGACATGTGTCTGGGTCACAGAAGTTGTTACAAAGATCAAGGAGCCCATGAATTTAAAGCACTTGGCTTCAGTGAGTTGTTTACCACTGGGCCTCATACCGCATAATGGAGTTCAGTGAACAAGAGCTGATGTCATCTCCTCTTTTATACAGGAAAACATCTACATACATACCCAAAGAAGATCAGGTGATCCACAGACCAAGATAACAAGTTTATGGTATCCTATTCTGTCACTATTCAGCTCTCAAAAGCCTTTCTTTTCCAAATAATGTGAAATCTTTGGGGTGAAAAATAAGAGATGAAGGGTATTTCTCTGCATGCAGTATGGAATAAGTTGTATAATAAATGTTGATTCTTCTGAACTTTCTAAGATTAAGGGTAAAAAAGACAGCTATGAACTGTTTAGTAGTAACTCTAACAGCCATGAAACTTGAACTCTATTATTCCCCTAAAGGGGAAAAAAAATGAGAGAAAGTAGAGTTTCCTGAAGAGTAAATGAAAAATGGTCCCTTCCCTGGCTTGTTCCCATAGTGAACTGATGGGAGCACTGAGTGGCGTGGAGGGCGTGCTGGTCCCCCAAAGGCTTCTCTTTGATAGAACTAGAACAAGGTAACCCTCGCACTCACTCTGAAATACCTGAGAGAAACCAGCAAATCCAAGAGCTTCGGATGGTCTGTCGGTGTACTATCAGTTCCTTTAGCAAAACAGAGAATGAAGCAAGGACTCCACTTGCTGAGAGAATAGAAAGTGGAATAATTTACATCCTTGGTTTCAGAAAAGGCACCCTTGTGACACAATGGTTAAAGCTTTCATCTGCTAACCAGAAGGTCGAAGATTTTAACCCACCAGCTGCCCTGCAAGAGAGAAGCAGCAGCGTGCCTGTATAAAAAATTACCACCTTGGAAATCCCGTGGAGTAGTTCTGTCCTAAAGGGTCGCTGCGAATTGGTTTCTGGGTGGTGGGGTTTTGGCTTTAGAACGTTGAAGGTGCAAGAATGTTGAGGGACAAGAAAACTGATATGTTTTTTAAATTCACAGCGCCCTCTGCTGGGAGGTGAGGCTCCCTACAGGAGTGGAGGGGCAAGAACGCTCTTGTAAATGAGGAACAGACTTCAGCTCACTCTAGTGGGGGTTCAGATTGTAAACTGAATCCGAAGGAGATTGCCCATCTTTCTCCCGCTGAAAAACTGGTAGATCCGAACTGTCTGCCTCTGGATTAACAGGGCAACTCATTACCTATTAGACCACCGGAGCTCCCTGGTAAGAGAATAAGACCTAGATTTTGTAGGGAGATATAGAGACCCCAGAGACTAAGCACAGAAAATGAAATCCAATGAATATTTAAAAAACCCCAAAACTAGATGGCTTTCACTTTATTGAGAAACAATGACATTATAGCTGTTATCACTGGTGGAGTTTGATTGGAGGGGGCAGCAAAGTGCTTTCAGAGGGTCCCTCCCCCTGGGGCCCTGTTCACCTGTTCCTCCTACCCCTTCAACTAAAGGTCATGGTATTTGGAGCCAAGCTTTTTTTCTCCCTGCATTTTACCATCATCAGCTCTCCTACCAAACTCAGCTTCCATTTGGACCAGCCATTGGTGCCTGTGCACTTCCACTACTGGGGAATGGGTATGAGGGTGAGAGCAGGGTCAAGTCTTTAAAAAGAAGGAGTGGAGGTGGAGATTTTGCTGAATGTCTAGCAAAGGTCAACCTAGCCGAGAATTCCCTGTGCTACGTGTACATTTGAATTACTTGCCCTTGAAGGTGCCCTATTTACACCTACTCAGACACCTGGGGCGTTCAAGCACCAATCCCATAGCTGTGATCCTCTGTAGGAAGGGCTGTTGAGAGTTCGTTAAGGGGGAGGGTACTTGCACTGCCTTCATGGCATTTGGGCTGGGGATGAGATTGTAGGATTTGATGTGAGATCAGGATATCAGAGCAGAACAAGTATTTGCAGGATTGTGTTTAAGGAGTGAGGAAGATGTTGATGAGGGCAGTAGAGGATACTGGCACATCTTTGTTCTGGTAGAAGAGAGGAAGTGGGTAGACTTCAGGATTAGGGGTGGCCCTGAGGGATGCATATGCCTCCTGCCTCTGTTATTTCAATGTGTCTTCCTCAGCCAGCACAATTTCCGAGCCTACTTTAGAAGTCAGGAGCCACAAATACAAATATAAAGGGTTCGGCTCACTTTGATGACTTGCTGGTGTGCCTCACTCTCTGAAGCCCAGTAAAAGACTAGGCGGGGTAGAAGGACATTTTAGGAAAGGCAGTATTGTAACCTGACTAGCTGACAGGTGCGGCAAGGCAGATAACAGAGTATCAGAACAACCCAAGACAACACACACACACACACACACACACACACACACACACACACACACAAAGAATTATCTGACCCTGCTCTTTGGAACCAGAGAGGAAAGGAAAAGGCCTATGAGGGCATGTCCCCTAGCCTAATATACTGCTGGTCTCAGGGCCCCTCAAAGTCCCCTGCCCAGTGGCAGGCAAACAAGAAAGTGGAAGGAATGACAGGGCTCCACTCAAGAGCGCTCCGAGGCGATGAAGAAGAGGGATAGGGCTGACCCCCTCTCAAAGGCCCTTGTTGTAGTAAACCACTTCGATGCTAGGATTTTGCTCATGGATCTGAGCTCTGAGGTCCGGCTCCAGCCTGCTCACATGGAGGGAGCTGTAACAGAGAAGCACAGGCTGCCTAAGTGTCCCCAGATTAAAACCTCTGAGGCTAAGGAACTGCTCTCCCTCTTCACCCTGTGGCCAGCCTAAGGAATCTTCCTTCTGCCAGAAGGGCCAGCTTACTGTCATTCCCCACCCTCACATCAGTCATGTGCTACCAGGCCTCCTCTCTGAACCTCCTGAAGGCCCCTCTGGACAGTTGGTCCGGCTGTGTAGTGATTTGATCAGAAGCCCCCCAGCCACACCCAAGGTATCACTTACCTCCTCTGGGGGAACAGGGCACAGCACAAGGGGGTAGCGAATACAAGGCTGGGGAGAAAGCAGTTGGAAAGGCTTGTGAATTTTGGCCTAAATTTATTCCCTCTCGATAGCTCATAAGCACCCCACCTTTGGGATCAGCCCTTAGGGGGCCTGGAAACTGAGTAAAACTGAAAAAACCTTTAGGAAACATTGAGTAACTGGAGCAGTGATGCAAAGTCCTTAGTGGGCCAGTACGTGACAGAATTGGGAATAAATAGACGTGAATCTCCTGGATGGTTCCCAATATGCCAAAAGCTGTATTCCCCCACTGCTTCTCTTGGATGTGGAGAATATAACCCCTCAACCAGACACTAATCTCCAAGGAAAGCGCTTGTCCCTAGCACACACTGCATACCCAACAATGTCCAGGACACATTGAAACTGAGTACATACATGATGATAGGTGTGAACATCTTAAAAGTAACAAATTAACCATTCATGTCCATCATAGGAAAAATGCTTTTTCAAGCTAGCTAAGTGCCTGCGTACTTACCAGAAGCCCACCAATCCCACCTGCAGTGGTGCCCCCAGCCAAGGACGGCGCTGTTGGGAAATAGACAGTAGAATGATATGTATCCCCCATTTCTCTAACCCCACCCCATTTCACCCACCAGGGATCTAGCCTACCAGCCCTGCCTTTAAGCCCTCAATTACATGGCCCAGATCATTCTCTTAGAAACCTCTAATACAACTGAGATTTCCAGGAGGTTTACTCTTCCCCACCCAGACCTATTTGCCGACCATCCTCTGCTGTCCCTCCCATTCCTGCCTTCCAGAATTAGTTCTTACTGCACTCCTCAGTCTTCTTTTTGTTCCCTCACTTCTCCCACGAATAACTTTCTTCAGGAGTCTTTTCTAACCTTCCACTCACTTCTTCCAGTCTCAGTGGCATGAATACATCCCTTTTCAAAATGCACTTTCTGTTCTGCACACCCATCCCCAAATGTTCCAGCCACTGGCACCACCATTCTGTTCTTCAAATGTGCAGGCCTGTCCCACCTTGGGGCTTTTGCTTCTGCTGATCCTTCTACCTGAAACACCCTTCTCCAGGCTCTTTGTCCTGCTTTCTCCTTCTCAACCTTTGGATTTTCAGAGATTCCTTTTCTGACTACCATATCTAAACAGCTCTCTCCAGCTAGTCTCAATTATATTACCCCATTGGTTTCCAACAAAGCATGTGTAACTTGTAGTGATATATTGATTGGTTTGTTTACTTGCTTCCGCACCAAACTATGAGCTTCATGAGGATAGGCTATGGCTGCTTTCTTCAGGAGTGTCTCCTCAGCCCTACGATATCCTTGGTACATAGCTGATGCGCAATACGTATTTGTTAATAAATGATTCCATGAATGAGCCTTGCATACTTGTGCTTTGTTTCCCTGTCCTGTGAGCATGCCTACATGTGTGCATGACTATCACTAAGCATGACAGCACAGGTGACAAGGAAAGTCCATTACTGGGTATGTCAGAGGCCCCTTAAGTGACACTCATCTCCTTCAGGAGAGAATGTATTTCCTTCCTTCTTTTTCTGTCTCCTTCTGCTCTTGCTGAGTCCCCTCACCCCAGAGTCCTACCCTTGGAAGCTCAGTGCATCCTCACTGGCCTATTAAGGGTGGAGGGGATGGTCCAGGGGTGGGAAGAATAGACAGAAGCTCAAGTTAGGCTGGGGAGAGAGTTGGGGGCTGGTCACCTTTTCTCCCAGCCACCACCATTCTCAGGGTGGGAGACATCTGAGTAACCCACCTTCAGAAAGTCTTTTTTCTCCAGACTATTCATGATCACAGGGGGAATGGCTGTGGGGAGGGCAGGCAAGAAGGGAATTAGTGGAGCAAAAGTAAGAAACCCAAAGGGAGACGGGATTCCCCCTCATAGCAGTCCCCTTCGCACTCCCCAGAATCTCACTGCCCTCAGAGAACCCCCACACCACTCCCCTCTGCCAGAGCCTTCCACACCCCATAGCCATCCCCGCCTCACCCATGGCAGGAATGGCCATGCCGATTCTCGATATCACCACCTGGAAGATTCCCTGTTTGGCTGCGGTCACTGAGTGGCCAAGTCTCTGACCTGCCTCATCGGTCACTGGGATGCCCACTTGCAGCTCCCTGGGAAGAGAAGGGATGGGAGTCACCACAAAGGCCTCAAGTCCCATCTATAGTGTTCAGACCCGAAGGCTGGTGCTCCTTCCCCCAGGACCTGATGGTCAGATTGAGAGGCTATAACAAAATAGGGCTCAGCAGTCATCCGTGTCCTAGAAGAGACAGATGCACCCCCACTCTGGGCAGGTCTGCCTGGGTGGGGTGCCCACATGCTCACACCAGGGCCTGGGGTCACTCACCTCTGCCTCATCAGGGGGATGTTAATGCAGTTGGCAGCTGCCACTGCTGCAAAGGGGACAAATCTGCCAACCAGAGTGGGCAGGTGCTGCGGAGGAAGAACATAGGTCAGGGACCCTGGGGGCCACAGGAGAGGGTAGTGAGGAAGTCTAGGAGAGAGGGAAAGCCTGTGGATCAGGGAAGATGAGTGATGGGGAAGGAGATGGGACAGGAGGAAGGAAGGAGGTGAAGGGGGTGTTTCACCTTGGTGAGAGATTTTAGACCCAGCGCTGTGGCCACAGCTCCGGTAGTGGCGCTCACATAAGCTGTTCCCAACTGCCTGTGGGTTGAAAAGCCAGATCACAAGAAGAACCAAAGAGTCCAGAATATGGTTCTTTAGCTGAGGGACAAGCCAAGTCTTCAATCATGAATGGAGCTTGGGAGGGTAGCTTCATTTGCAGAGAAAAACCCTTTCCCTACTTCTAGTAGAGACTTGTCTAAAAGCCCCTTTTTCTAACCCCCTTACAGAGGGTTTATTGTTGCTGCTGAATACTGTGGAGTTGGAACTGACCCTTAGCGGACCCTCCAGCTGGTCTTCAGAAGCATTAAATAGCACAAGAGGAGATTACCCATCCTTCTCCCATAGAGCAGCCAGTGGATTTGAACCATCATCATATTTGGGATTGCAGTGCAGTTTCTTACCACTCAGCCACCAGAGCTCCCTTAAAGAGAGGCAGATCCCCACCCAACCCCCAAATCGAATACAAGAGGACTCATGCCCTCTGGTGGGCAGAGAAAGTAGGGTAAGTGGGCAGAAGGCTGAGAGGAGGGAATGAAGTCCCTGGATCAAGGGACTACAGGGAACAGGAATGAAAAGGAGAGAAAAACAGTGGACTGGGAAGCGAGGACCCAACAGGGCACTGGAGTAGTTCCAGGGTAGGACAACCCTAGCTCTCACCCGACTGTGATGGGAGCGTCACCACTGCGGTTGGAGTAGTTGACGATGGCATTGAAGGACTGGTTCACCCACTGCCAGAACACTACTGTTGGGGTCTTCCTGAAGGAACAAAACCAGTTACTTCTGCCCCTTCTGTACTATCCCTTACCCACGGGCCCCTATAATCAGTCATCAAAGGCTATTCCCAAAGCAGCAGGACAGCCTCATATGAGAACCCCAGAACCTGCTCCAATAACCCCTGTATACTGTCTCCCACATCCTTAGATAAACACACCCACTCTCTGGGGTGAAAGAGCTCCCAGGCCTCAGTTCTTCCCGAGGACTCGATCCTATACAAGTGGCCCTCACCATTCACTATCTCCTGGCCCACAGAGGAAGCACCTAGTCTAGTTTAGACAGAAAGTTCGGGAAGGCGAGGACCTGCCTGTAGAAGGTGAGCATGCAGCCAGTGATCATCATGTTCATGGGCACCTGGGCTGACATGCGGCCAATCAGGACCACCTTCTCCCCGGTGTCTGGGTGGAAGGCAGAGTCATACACGTATTTGGCCCTCCATAGCTGGTCTTCAGTGAGCCCTGGAACCACCACACCAGCCCTGCAGAGGTGGACAGGACACAGAAAGGCTATTCCGGTGCACATTTCTCCAGGGCCCACCTCCTCAGTTTAGGTAGAGTCTGAGTAGAGAACTAGGAATTTTGCTCCCCAAAATCAAAATAAAGAAGCTCCCTGCCTTGCCTTTGGGTATCAAAGTTTCTCAGAAGTGAGGGCTCTGATTCTACTTCCTCCTCAGCCACACAAAACCCTTTTGTTTCTGCCAAAATGCTGGGTCATGGGTAAGAGTCATTTCCAGTGGCAGAAAGGGCCAAGGCCATTGTAAGGATTTTCACTTGCCCCTGGAGAGGAGAAGAGTACTTTCTGATGTCCTAGGAACTGGACTTTGAGCCCTTCAGTCCGCAGAGGGGGCCCAGGAGGGAAGAGAGGTCTCTGCTTAGTGTTTGTGAGGCACAAAACAAGCACCACCCATAAATACCAATAACCCACAGCCTTCAAATCCTCTGAGTTAGAGCTCTGTGCCACATGTCTGTGATGCCAGCAGGCAGGGCCAGGAAATGGGGATGGTGGGGTAGGACAAATTGGGAAAGTAAATGTAAGAGGTGCTGTAATAATGGCAAGAAAACAACCCGAGATTCAAGGCCAAACAGGAGTCACCTGTAGTTCTGCACAATGTTCCGGGAAGCTTCCAGCTGTGCTCCGGACAGCAGCAGGTTCCGGGGGTCAGTGACAGTGAAGAAGTGCCGGGCTCTGCCCATGAAAGTACTTTGGTCCCATCGAGGCTCCTGGATGTTGATGTTTAAAGGCAGCTCACCCATTTTCTGCAAGGCAGGGACAAGGGTCAGAGGGGCCAAGGCTTCCTTCCATAAGCGAAATTTTGGAAGCTCGACCTTGGTCCCTGAGTGTAAAGCTAGTCCATTCTAGAGCTCAAGGTGACTCCAGCTAGGTAAGCAAAGGGAAGAGAAGGAGCTGTGTCCTTAGCAATGTCACTAGAGCCACCTGGAGCCACTGGATGAGGAGGAGGGGGAAGAGCAGAGCCAGGAAGACAGATTTCCTTGTCTACTGGCCTGGCCTGCATTGTCGTGAGTGTAGTCGATGTACCAGGAGCAGCTAACTTGCATGCGTCTGTCTGCTCCTGTATACTCTTCATGCAAATACATGCATACTGCATGTAGAATACACTCATATTCATGGGAAGACTTAGGTCCCAGCTGCCCTGTGACCTAGATACACAGCCATCCCACACCCTATCCCTTGATTGGAGGAAAGCAATGGCTCATTGGTCACCCCAGGGCTGACCTATTCCAGATATTTAACAGGGGACTCTGATGCCAGCTCTGTGCTCTTGCAAGAATGCAGTCTCCTCCGTAGACCCACCTTCCTCAACTCACAATGAATGATCCCTGGCAGGCTACTCCTGGCAGAGCTGGAACAGTCTCCCCCAATACCTCTTCCTGAGGCACCCCCATCCGAGAAAGAAGAGTTCAGTAGATGCCCTCTCCACAGCACTGAGAGAAAAGTCTGGCGCAGCCATCTGGCTGTGTGAGGCAAAATCCTACAGAATGACTAATCCTCTCCAACCACACTTCCTCCCCCACAGGCCGGCACACCCCAGCCCTCTCACACACTCACATACCCACACACAAAGGCACCATCATGCACGCCCTTCCCAGACAAACAAGGACCCACAAAGACCGTTACTTAGACACATTCGTGCACACACACATACACACAAACACACGGCCCAAGCCAGCCGCTGCAGACACATCACATGAACGCGCTAAGCCCCACCCCAACATTCCTCCTCTGAGCCCACCTTTCCTCCTGCCTCCACCCTGGCCTCCCCAGAGCCGAAATTGCTGACCCCACAGAACTGAGCGCGCACTAAGGCAGCGCAGACCTACAGCCCTCAACACTGGATTCCCCAGGTACTGAGCTCGGCCCAGACAGAGCGCACTCACGCTTTCCAGGGCTCAGGGTGGTTCAGCTTTGGGACCTCCCAGACCCGCCTTCCTCTCTGCGCTCTGCCCGGGTCCTCCCAGCCACCACCCGGGACGGGACGTCACGCGTGACGTTGGCCAGCGGGAATGGGCGGGACTTACGGGGTGCGCCCATCCGCTGGGACCGGGGATTGGCAGGTTTTAGGGGCGGTGGGTGGCATTTGGGGAGACGCCTCCAGCCTGGACCGCGAGGAATCTGCGCTACTCTGCCTTCCAGAGCCAATCCGAGAGCAGGAATCAGTCACAGCCTGTACTCAGCCAGAAGGAAGAGTGGAGGAGCCACCAGCGCGGTGTTTTGCTGCAGCTCCTTGGAATGTCCCGGGAGACAAGGGCCCCTGCATCAAGGGGTCCAGCGCCGGAAAGAAGGGTCTCTGGGCGCAGGCCCGAGAGCCGGGGGGGGGGGGGGGGGGGGCGGTGCTGATGATGCACCTGGAGGGACTCGGGTAACCACCAGCTTATTTGCCTTGGCAGTGGTCTCCGCCCACCGGGCCCCGGCGCTCCCTACCCGGGTATCCAGGACTCCACGTCTCCACTGGATGCATGCAGGCCCCGATCCTGGCGTGCCCGGGCCCCTTCTGTCTGATGGCTTCTCGTCCTACGCAGGCCCCTCTCGCCCGCTCCTCTATAACCCCTAACTCCGCTGGGTTCCCAGCCTCCTTGTGCTTGCAGCCCTGAGCCCTGCGTCGCAGTTCTGGGGGAAGGAGAGGTGGTATGAGAGTCAGAGGCTCAAGGAACCTGCACCAGCATCCAAGCAAGTGGATCTCTTCCTTCTGGAGTCCTAGGACTTGCGCGCCACCTTGCTATCTTAGAAACGAGTAGTCAGAGAGACACCTTCTGATGTTACAGGAGGAGGACGGCTGTGAAGGCGATGCGAGCGCACACACACTCACACTCTCACACTCACACATTCCCCGTTTTCCCAGTCACCCGCACACCTGTGCGTCAGCCCTGGTCCCAACCAACGCAGGTAGTACAAGTTCTGCTCTGTGCAAGTGACATTCCACTAATAAGATTTCGGGGATGTTCGCAGAGGAATGACAGTTCTAGGAGCCCAAGTTGCTGGTTTGGCTTGGAGAAGACGCTGTTCTACTATAAATGCGGAGCAGGAGGGGCAAAAAACCGAAGCCTAAGCCACAAACTGGCGGGACGGGGCGCCAATGGCCTCCGCCAGGGTGACAAGCAACAGCCCAGGGCGTTGGAGGGAGGTGCTAGTAGAGTAAATGGCAGCCCTGTTAGCCAATGAGAGGCCGCGGCTTCCCAGGCCGGCCCCCTTCCCGCAGCCTCGGTGTCGACGAGGCGGGGTCCCCACCCCGCTGCTGCAGTCGCTCACGCCCCCGGGCGGGCGAGGCCCACGGCGGCCGGACACGCGAGAAGGTGAAGCGGGCCAAGGCCGAGAGGTAGGAGACCTGGCCGACAGAGCTGGGGGTGGGGTGCTGCTTTCTGGGTCCCTGGAGGGGCTCTGGGACTTGGCCCGTGGTTTTACTCTGGGCGTTGTTTTGTTGCGGCCCTCCTCCCCTGCAAACCAGGGAGAAGGTGAAGCAACCTCTTTGGATCAGAATCAGCAGATTCTCTGGGGGCTAGGGATTGCTGGGGCCCAGGATGCAGCTGTCCCAGGTCCTGAACGCCTGCCCTGAGGGCTGGCCCCCTAACTCCATATACAGGAGAAGGGGTGTGATGAATGGCCTTCAGCTTATTTTTCTTACACACTGCTTGAAGCCCCGGGCCCACCATGATCCCACCTTCTCTCTCCTCTCCACTATTGGGACTTGGGGTGAGGGGCGAGAACAGACTCAAACGAGAGCCGACCGAGGGGTGAGAGGGATTTCACATCTGCCTTGTTTGGTCAAAAGCTTCAAGGTTCACTGGGGCCTGGACTGGACAGTGTTCTGGCTAAGGGTCGGGGAGATGGGGGCTTAGACTCAGCAGGGCAGGATGCCTGCACCAAGGTGGGGGTGGAAGTCCGGGGGCAGCGTGCAGCACTGACATCCCCTCCCCTCTCCCCGCGCTCTCTGCCCAGGCTTGGAGCACGCACTCCTGAGAGGCAGGCGTGAGGGCCCCCGGCATCACCGAGACCCCAGCCGGCAGAGAAGGCTCATGGCGTCCCCAGCACGCGGGCTCCGCCTCCCAAGAGCCCTCGGGCTCCTCCTGGACGTGTAGGGGTCCCAGTGCGCAGCCACCATGGCGCACGGGTTCGCGGTGGGCTTTGACGCGCTGGGCCTCGGCGACCTTAGCTCGGGCTCGCTGAGCTCCCTCTCCTCCCGGGGCCACCTGGGCAGCGACTCCGGCTCGGCAACGCGATACCTGTTGAGGAAGCAGCAGCGGCTGCTAAATGGGCCCCCTCGCGGAATCCGAGCCTCGTCGCCCATGGGCCGCGTCATCCTCATCAACTCCCCCATCGAAGGTGGGGACGGGGCCCAGCCAAGGAGTGGGAGAGGGCGAACCTGGGTTGACCGAAGCAGGAGCTAGGTGGGCGTGGCAGAGACAATAGAAGTAAGGAGATGGGAATCACAGGGACTGGACTTGGGGGACCCAATGGAACTCCTATATTCTCCATACTAATCATTTGAGGACCCAGGATTTTGTAGAGAGACTAGATGAGAGAGTGAGAGGGGAATGGTCAGGGGTTAAAGAAAGGTAGGGGTGTGTGTGTGTGTGTGTGTGTGTGTGTGTGTGTGTGTGTGTGTTGTGTGGTGCACTGGCATTTCCCAAGTCCCGGTGAGTAGGCCATGGTGACAAAGGACGTCCCCACTGTGTGTCCAGCCCTGTGCAGAGCTATAAGAAGTCAGAGTCCAACGTTAGAGCGATGAAAGTAGAGCAGCAAATGGTCAGAACACGAGACAGACCAAGAAAGCTGGGGCCAGAGCGGGAGAGAGCCCTAGAGGTGAATGTGAAGAGGGAAGAACACCCAAGTTTACATGGTTTGTTGCACATCAGTTCCATCTCAGCAGTAGGTAGAGTCTGCAGAGGCCTTAACTACTAGGCAGAAATAAGACCCCATTCTTCATCTTCCCAAAATACACTGTTTATCAGGGCTTAGAGGCAGAGCCATGAGAACAGTGGAGGGTGGCATAGAAATATCATGGACAAAGACCAGGGAGAAAGCCTGGAGTACAGGGGATGGGCACATGGAGGCGCAGTCTGCCTACAGTGGCAGATGTGAAACACCATAAGGCAGTGAGCAAGGCAAGGCCTTGAATGCCCAGGGGAGGAGTCAGGGATCCCCCGGGCCTGGGCTTTCTGTTGGCAGGACCTGATAAGCATCTGCTTCTCCTCTGACTCAGTGGATCTGTGAGGAAACCCAAGTTCCCAGGTGCTGCTGATGCTATTATTCAGAGAACCACATTTAGAGAACCACTGTAACATAGACTAACTGGGAAAAGGAAGGAGAGATTTCTTTAGGTTGGGTCATCTTGGAGAAAGTGGTATTTGAGTCATAGAAAGAACTGGCCCAAGGGAGCTCTGGTGGCCTAGTGGCAAGACGCTGCACTGCAATCCCAGAGGTACACGGTTCAAATCCACCAGATGCTCTGCTGGAGAAGGAGGGGGCAATCTCCTCCTGTACCAGTCAGATCTGATTTGATGGTACATGTAAAAATAATACAATAAAAATTAAAAAAAAAAACTGGCCTTATTGTAACTGTCTGGACAAGAGTAGTCCCAACAGGTGGAACCCTGACAGAGCCTGGGCCGAATAAGCAGCTGGAAGGAAATTAGTGTGACCATAGTTTAGTGGCTAAAAATAAAGGCAGAGAGATGGGCGAGGAAAAGCCATGACAGCCTTATAGAGCATGAGGAGAGTCTGAATTTTGTTCTAGAAGTGTGAGAGATTGTTGAAAGTTTTTAACCAAGGGGAAGACTTGATCTAATTTAAAACTCTTTCTCATTGCCGTCAAGTCCAAACTGGCTCATAGATGAGCCTGGGTTGGGATTCTCAAAGAATGCAAATCACATGGGAGGAAATTGCCTATCTTTCTCCTGTGGACCTACTGGCTGATTAGACTTGCCAAAGCAGCTCGGCCTTTGGGGTAGCAGCACAACTCTACAGACTAAAACTGGCTTTACTACCGTGTTATTGTTAGGTGCATAAAGTCTCCAAGTCATAGTGACCTTTCGTACAACAGAGCAAAACACTGCTCTGTGCTGTCTTCACGATCGTTGCAGTATTTGAGTCCATTGTCATGGTCACTGTGTCAATCCATCTCATTAAGAGTCTTTTTTTCTTTTTTCTGATCCTCCATTGTTGCTGATGTCCTTCTAATAACATGTCCAAAGTGTATAAGAAATCTGGGCGTCTTCACTTATAAAAAGCATTTGGTTACATTTATCCCAAGACAGATTTGTTGTTTTTCTGGCAATCATGGTTTATTCTGTATGCTTCTCTAACATCACAACTCAAATGCATTACTTTTTTTTTTTTTTGGTCATACTTATTGATTGTCCAGCTTTCACATCTGTGAGGTGATTGAAAATATGGATGTCCGAGTCAGGCACTCTTTAGTCCTAACATGACATCTTTTTCCTTTTACTCTTAAAGAGGTCTTTTGTAGCCTTCCCAAAACACAGAGACTCCAAATGCAGCTGCGTCTGAAGCTTTCTCTTCTCCCTGGGTCTTCTTTCGTGATAGTTTGTGTACAATACAGTTCAGCAAGAGCGTTGGAGTTGCTTATTATTTGTCATCTTTCTTTCCAGACAACCTGCCTTTTACTTTGGGTTTAATCATCTCTGCAATTGCATCTGCCTGTTTGTTGTCAATAAGTCTTTAAAGCGATATAGATAGGTAGGTAGACTGGTAGATTATTAGAATGAGAGTTTGTTAATAGGTAACACATAGACTAATGATTGATAGATGGTAAAGAGAAAGAGATATTCTACAAGGCTTAATGTAAAAAGAGCAAGGACCTCGTGGGGACAGCCGTATCCTACTTCTAAGTCCACAAAGGCCAACTGTCCCCATCAAAAGCATCCACAACACAAAACCAATTCACAGGAGGTCAGACATGTCCCCCATCCTCCAGCATCTCTTTTCACTAATTTCAATAACTATCTTACTGCTCTACTGGGTCCCAAATCCATTGCAATAGATCACAGACCACACAAAACCATATTAGGGAAGTAAAAATACTATAATTCAGGTTGGAAGGTCAATGACTGTCATCTTTAACATGGATTGAAGCTCAATGAAGAAGACACCACTGGGTCAATTGGCAGCACCATGATGAATGGAGAAGAGATTGAAGTTAATAATTTCAGCTTACTTGGTTCCACAATCAATACTCTTGGCACCAGGAGTCAGGATATCAAATGATGACTTGCACTAGGAAAATCTCCTGTCAGGTACCTCTCCAGAGTACTAAGAAGCCACAGGCTCAGTCTGGAGACTAAGGTGCACCTGAACCAGGCTATGGTCTTCGCAATTACTTGCTATGCATCAGGGAGCTAGACAATGACTAAGGTTGGCAGAAGAAGAATTGATGCCTTTGAGTTGTGGTGTGGAGAAGAGTCTTGAACAAACCATGGACTGCCAAGAAAACAAATAGATCTATCTTGGAGAGGGTGAAACCTAGTTTCTCCTTGGAGATTAGGATTTTAAAGCTCAGTCTCTCATACTTTGGACACCTAGCCAGGAGGGACTGGTCCTTGGAAAGGGACATCATGCTCAGAAGGGTGGAGGGACAGCACAGGAGAGAAAGACTCTGGATGAGATGGAATGATACAGTGACTGAAGAAATGGGAGTAGGTGTTTCAGAGTCAGTGAGACTGGTTTACTATAGGGCAAGTGTCAGGGCTGTTGTCCATAGGGTCACTATGAGTCACAGGTCAGTCAACAGCACATAACAACAACAGATACAATCAGTCAATCAAGAAAGCTTTTGAAAGACACTCACATGCACCTCATTCTTCTGTATTGCAACTTCAGGTCGGTGCTCAAAGCTCTTAATCCTCCCAGTTATTGTTCTCCCACTCTGTCTGATTCTATGGGGTAGTGCTCCTAAGATCTGTTCTGTCTCATGTCAGGTCTCTGGTCTTCTGCTTTGGCTACTGCTCTCCTGTAGGTCTGGCAGGCACAGAAATCTCTGGCCCTAAAGGGCGTGCTGCATCCTCTGCTACTTTGCTGACAGAGAGATTCTCAGTAGCTGCCACTGAATCTGCTTACTTAACTGTCAAAACCACCCAATCCCCTTGTGGATAGGCTAACACACTCTATTTGCATATTCCTGCCTAGCCCCACATGGCAAAGTCAAAGTCAATGACTAGGAAAGCCATTTTGAAGAAGAAACCCTTAACACCACACTTGAGAAGGGGGGGGGGACAGTTCCTTTGTAAAATAGTTGAATTCTTAACTGCTTTCACTATGAGCGTTGATTGTGAATCTCAGCAAAGTTAAAAGATGTGTAGAGAATAAATAAGGAAGGGCAAGTTAGGATATTGCTGCAGAGTGCCCAGAGGAAGAACTAACCTTGACTACAGCTTAAACTAAGAAGTAGAGGCTGAAGAGATACCACCCCCAGAAGGTCCAAAAACCTAAGCTCAAACTTCAGATGTGGTGTCCCCCTGACCCAGGGCCCTAGGGAGACTCCAGAGGAGCTCCTAGGACAAAGAGGGTTAAAGGGGTAAGGATGAGGCTGAAAAGGACTTGTGCGTATCTAACTGTTGGGAAGGCCCAGGGACTCCCGAGTATAATCCTGCACCATCCTTGCCCACAGGCTGTCCTTGGGGATTTCTTTCTGAGCTGCCCTGGTCAAGCCTTGTAACCTGATTTCTTTTAGATTAAGCAGAGGTGTATATGTGACCATGTGATTTTTTTTTCTCCCCTCTTTCAAACAACTCCAGAATAAACCTTGCCTGCAGAAGAAATCTCAAACTTCTCTCTTAGGATATTACCTGACTTTCACCTTGCATCTTCTCACTTCTTTCTAAGCAGATCTCCTAACAGACTTTCCCCCCCCCCTCCCCGTTTGGTAACACTTAGTTTAAGTGGCATTGGAAGGAGAGGGACAGTTGGAAGTCTTTTTTTTTATCTTTTAAAAAAAATTTAATTTCTTTTTTGTGTGTGTGTACCGTCAAATCTGGTACAGGAGGAGATTATTCCTCCTTCTCCAACAGAGCATCTGGTGGATTCAAACCGTGCATCTCTGAGATGGAAGTCTTTTTTAATGTAGTATTTTAAAATGTTTTATTTAAGTGAACATGATTTTTTTTTTCTTCCCTCTCCCTTGTCTCTCATCTCTGTTAACCCTCCCAGAATGATTCTATCTCTGTATAAACCTTTTCTTAGCTTTCTATGATAGTGGTCTTATATACCATAATTATCCTTTTTAACTAATTTATGACATTCAGCATACTTTGTTCTAGCATCATCCATATTGTTCAGTATCCCACAAACTCTTGATCATTTCTGAGTGCTGTATCATACTCTATTGTGTGAATGTACCACAGTTTCTTTAGCTATTCATTCATTCATGAATACTTGGGTTGTTACAACTCGTTATTATACATAGTGCTGCAATAAACATAAGTGTGAATATGCAAATTTGTATTGTAGCTCTTAGTTTTTTTGTAATATATAGTCAACAGTGGGATTGCTGGATCAAAACCATGTTTCTATTCCCAAATTTCTGAGGAAGCCCCAAAATGCTTTCCATAGCGTTTGCACCATTTCATGTTTCCACAAGCAGCGGACAAAAGTTCTAATCTCTCCATCCTTGCCATCATTTATTGTTTGCTGTCTTACTGAGCTTTGCTATTGTGGTTAGATAAGATGATATCTCATTGTTATTTTTATTTACATCAATGGTGAAGAAGACCCTCAACCATGGAGATTGACACAGTGACTGCAGTAATGGGCCCAAGTGTGTCAGAGATTGTGGTTGACACAGGATAGGACAGGGTTTGGGCTTGTTGTTCATAGGGTCATTATGAGTCATACTGGATTTTGTGGCAACAATAATGAATGATTTTTAACATTTCTTCACGCGTTTGTTGGGCATCTAAACATCTTTGGTAAGATGTCTATTTTTGTACTCATGTACTCTACCCATTTGTAAAATTAGATTGTCTTTTTCTTGTTGAGGTATTGCAGTTTTCTACAAATTTTAGAGATGAGTTCCTTGTCAGAAATGTCATTGTCAAATATTTTTCCATAAACTGTAAGTTCTCTTTCCAAAAAGGTGAAGCCTTTTGATACATATAAATATTTCATTTTTAAGAGATTCCAATCATCTAGCTAGGACCCAGTCTTGAGTCTCTGCTTTCTCCATCCTTTCATCAGAGTCCCTTGCCAAATACTTCACTTTGTAAAATAGTTGAATTCTTAACTGCTTTCACTATGATCGTTGATTGTGAATCTCAGCAAAATTAAAAGATGTGTAGAGAATAAATAAGGAAGGGCAAGTTAGGATATTGCTTTTTCAAGTCCCACCCACCTTTAAACTCTAAGACATACTCCCTGGGTAAGTGTCCACACTTAGGAGTTACATGGAGGCAAATTTGGATTCAGCATAAGGGACAGCTTGATTTTGACTTCTGGGTTACACAGATAAAAACACGTAGGCAAGATAGCTCTCAATATATTTGAAGAAAGAGCTAATATATTTTTTTGAAAGCTGATATGCTCATTTTTAAACTATTTTTATTTGAGTGAAAGTTTACAAATCGTATTAGCTTTTCATACATCGTTCACATTTTGTTTTATATCACTAATTGTCATTTATTAGTATAATTAGTTAATTACAATGCCTGATCAACCACTCATTTCCTTGTGTGTCACCACCATTCCTTTCAACAACCAATTTATCTATTTATTAACTTTTACTTCTCTCTTCTCTTCTCATCCCTGTTCTCTTGTCAAGATTGAGTCTATCTGTGTGTAAACCTTTCCTCAGCTTTTTTTAGTAGTGGTCTTATAGCATAATTGCCTTTTTGTGACTGACTTAGGTGACACAGAGTAATCTGTGCTAGATTCATCCATGTTGTACAGTATTTCACAAATTCTTAATCATCTTTTAGGGATACGTAATCTCCATTGTGTGAATGTGCCTTAGTTTCTTTAGCTGTTCATCCATTGATGGGCACTTGAGTTATTTCTAAACCTTTGCGACTGTAAATAATGCTCCAATAAATATGAAAGTTTGTATACTAATTGATCTCACAGCTCTTGCCAATATACCCATTTTGACTGAGTCTGAAAAGCCCAGACTCTGTCAATTAAGCCCCATAGGATGGTATCGCAACCCTTCTTTTCTGTCCACCAGACCCTTGGAAGGGTAGGACTTTTAGGAATTTGGCCTACGTTAGGGAAGCTCAGTAAACATTGGACCCCCAACCCATTGCCCTTCATAATGGAAGGAAAACCACATCTTTTAATGTAGTGTTCTGTTCTGTTTTCTCACATTTCCACACCTTTCCTGGACCACAATCTCAAAAACACCCAGAGAGAACACAGAAATTGGCCACATCTTCCCATTTGGGGCCATAGGTACCTGTGTGGCTGCACTCAGCAGCCTAGTGTTTTTCGGTATTGAGTCGGGGAGCCCTTCTTGGCCAGCACAAATGTCAAGTTCATGTCTATGGTCCTGTTGTCACAGCCAACAGTGATGAGAGTGACATCATCCATGCCGTCCGGGTGGAGAAGAGTCCGGCAGGGAGATTGGGTTTCAGCGTGCGTGGAGGCTCTGAGCACGGCCTGGGCATCTTTGTCAGCAAAGTGGAGGAGGGGAGCAGTGCAGGTGAGTGGGGCCCTATGGACAAGGCCATCACCCAGGGGACGTGACCCCACTTCAGCAGGCTTCAATGATTGGGGCCAGAGTTCTTAGTTCCAGAAGGCCTGATCTAATGCAAGACAAAATCCACCTTTCTAGTAAAGTTGAGTAAGGGACAGATCTCCAGGTCTAATGAGAATTAGGAACTCCCACCCTAAGGATGCCCATTCTAATGGAGGAAGCTCCATCTCGCCTTGGGAAACTCCTGTCTGATGAGGGTGGAGCTGACACCGGGGAGAGGGGTCCCGCACTAGTCACGCTTCTCCACTGGTGCAGAGCGAGCTGGCCTGTGCGTGGGGGACAAGATCACGGAGGTGAACGGGCTGAGCCTGGAGAGCACCACCATGGGCAGCGCTGTGAAGGTGCTGACGGGCAGCAGCCGCCTGCATATGATGGTGCGGCGCATGGGCCGTGTGCCGGGCATCAAGTTCTCCAAGGAGAAGACCACGTGGTGAGCAGTGCCCAGGCCTGACTCTGGCCTAGCCCATCCCCCCATCCCTGCCCCATCCCTACCCCATCCCCAAAGTCCCTTGATAACAAAGGTTGAGGAGACCTGCCTTCTGCTTGTCAGTTCCTTTTTAAAAATAATAATAATAATAATTATTATTATTATTATTATTATTGTTATTATTATTGTAAACCATCAAATCAGATCTAACTGTTACAGGAGGAGGTTGTCCCTCCTTCTACAGCAGAGCATCTGGTGGATTTGAACTGCACACCTCTGCCTTCTGTTTGTCAAGGTGATAGAAACACCAAGACCCTAAAGCCTGACCTTAAAATTCAGGAAACATGCCCTGGTGCTCTTGAAACAGTTCTACTCTCCCAGATACTAGTGGTCCTGTCTTTCATATTACTGCTTATCTGAGCTAGGCACCTGTCCCACAGGGAAACTGGGAGGTTTAGCAATGGGAATGGCACATTGCAGCTACTAAAGGAAAAAAAAACCCAACAAACCAGAGGTGTGTTATGGTTTGCTGCATTAGATGAAACGTATGCCCCACTGAAGGTCCTAGACCCAGAAAGTCCCTCAAAGCAAGTCTTTCTCAAGTAGGTTCCAGGGCTGCTGGGAGGAGAAGACAGGGGTGGTGGTGAATGTGGTGGAGGGCCCAGGCTGAAGGCCTCTTGCTGTTGGTCCAGGGTGGATGTGGTGAATCGACGGCTGGTAGTGGAGAAGTGCAGTTCAACACCATCCAACAGCGGCTCAGAGGATGGCGTGCGCCGCATCGTACATCTATACACAACCTCTGACGACTTCTGCCTGGGCTTCAACATCCGTGGGGGCAAGGAGTTTGGCCTGGGCATCTACGTGTCCAAGTGAGGAGTAAGGCAGGGAGGGAAATGGGGCAGCCTCGAGTGGAATTTGGGAATATGTCAGCAAATAAGACCTGGCCAATGGCCTGTCCAAATGAAGAGTTGCATCCAGGACAAAGCCTGGAAAGTGAGGTGAGGTCACCAGGAAGAGAGGGTCAAGGATGGCGGTGGGGTCACCAGGAGGAAGGTCAAGGAATTTGGTTGGGCTGTTTCTCTGTCCAAAAGATGGGAGTCTGGGATATATTAAGAAAGTGGTGGATTGGGTGGCCTATCAGAATGCTATTCATCTGCCTCCAGAGTGGACCACGGTGGGCTGGCCGAGGAGAATGGGATCAAGGTGGGGGACCAGGTTCTGGCGGCCAATGGTGTCAGGTTTGATGACATCAGCCACAGCCAGGCAGTGGAAGTCCTGAAGGGCCAAACACACATCATGCTGACCATCAAGGTGGGTAGGGCGAGGGGAATCGGGAGAGGTCAGATTGAGGACAACTTGCCAGACCATCCTAGCACTGAATTAAGTCTGTTGCTCTGCATTTTCTAGGCCACGTTCATGCCATGTAGTAGGTAGCAGAGGCATTGTTCTCATTCTGATTTCACAGGAGAAACTGAGTTTTAGAGAGGCACACCTTAGGGACCATAGTCAATGACACAACTGTCCAGTGGCAGGGCCTGGTCCACCTGCTGCCCCAACTCCTAGGGTAGTGCTCTTTCCTACACTGGTCCTAAGGGTCGAAGGAGAAGGTTGAAGTGGTAGCTGTGGCTTTGGGCAGGACTGGGTGCTGGGAAACCTCAGAGATCCACAGGAGGACTGGATTAAGGCAAGAGATTGGGTTTCAGGGGAGGCAGCTGTATTCATTATTCACGAAGGTCTCACCTTTACCTCAGGATCAAGTCCTTCGTGTCTTGTACCAGGAAGAGGTGACGCCTCCTGCTCCCCCAGTGCTCAGTACTGGTCCCTACCCCACATTTCTCCTTTTCTCACACCTTCACTCAACTTCCCACTCAGTGTTTCCTTTGTTGTTCTTCCCATACCCACCTCTCCCGCTTTCCATTTCTCTGCTTCCTTCTTCACGTTATCACAAACACTTCTGTCTCTTACTCTGTCCCGCATTCATTCATTCAGTAGTGTTGACTATCTCCTACTTCCTGGGAAACAGAAAAAGAAATAACTACTTGCAGACTGTGACATAGGCCATAAGGAATTTAACCGAGAGATCTTAACTCATTGCTTTCGGGTCGGAACTGACTCAAAACTGACCCTCTGTTGAGTTTCTGATGCTGTAAATCACATGGAAGGAGGCTGCCCATCTTTCTCCCTCAGAGCAGCTGGTAGTTTGAACCACCAGAGAGGGCTGCAGTTCAACTTCCTTCAGACTGCACCACCAGGTCTCCCACTCCCTAGCCAAAGTGAGAGAGGATAGAGGGGTTCAGTAAATATCCCTTTAGCTGGGGCTTGGGGGCGGCATCAGGGGAGATCTCTCTGAGGATGTGGCAATGAAGGGAACCTAGTCAGAAGTTGAAGGAAGAGATTTCAGGCAAAGGCACTGAAAGTGCAAAGACTGTGCTGTGCAAAGGAAAACGGCCTACTCATCAATAAAGTGGGAGGTGTGAGTTGCAGTGTGATGAACTCGGAGAAGAAAATGTGGTTTAAAAGTTTACTCCTGTCCCACCACTTCCCCATTCTTACTCTCTCCTGCTTGCATCCCCACACCTTCCTCTGCCCACATGTCCTCCCAGGAGACTGGCCGGTACCCTGCCTACAAGGAGATGGTTTCTGAATACTGTTGGCTAGACCGATGTAAGTAACTCAGGCTGCAAAGGGTGGTGGGGGAAAGGATTGGCCTGAGGGTGCGAGTGATCTCTGAAGGAAACAAGACACCAATGTCACTTCGCAAGTCCCCGCAGGTTGTGAGCATCGATCTCTCTGGTGGTTCTGCATGTACCTCTGCGGTTGCAAGCAGGCCAGACCCCTGAGATGCTCTTGCCTTCCCCTTCCCTGCAGTGAGCAATGGGGTGCTGCAGCAGCTGTCCGCAGGCTCGGAGAGCAGCTCCAGCGTCTCCTCCTGTGCCTCCAGCGCTCCCTACAGCTCCGCGGAGGGCTCGGGCTCCCTGCCCTCCGACCGAATGGACGTCTGCCTGGGGCCAGAAGAGCCCAGCGGCCGTGGGCCGGGCTGGGGGCGGGCGGACACAGCCATGCAGACCGAGCCGGACATGGGGGGGCGCATGGAGACCTGGTGCAGCGTGAGGCCCACGGTCATTCTCAGGGACACAGCCATCCGCTCAGAAGGTCCCCCCTCTGCCCGCCGCCTCGATTCTGCGCTCTCTGAATCCCCCAAGACTGCTCTGCTGCTGGCCCTTAGCCGACCCCGGCCCCCCATCACACGCTCCCAGAGCCACCTGACCTTGTGGGGTAAGTAGATGGACCCCAAATCCATCTTCAGTCTCAATTCCAGTTCACATTAGTCTGAGTTCCAAACCAGCCATACTTTAGGGCCCTAAGCCCAGCCCCTCCATCCCAGGATGTACCCTAACTTTTACTCACATGCCTGCACACATATATATGCACACACTCCATACACACCCCACACACCTCACAGACACATATTTGCGCGCGCACACACACACACACACACACTCACTCACTCTGGTTGCTCTAATTGACATTCAGTGGAAAGACTCCACCATTTTTACTGTCAGTAGTGGGCAGAGGTGAATATTTGGAGGAGTACGCCTCAGCCCCCCACAGCTGTAGATCCTGCCTGCCTCTCCCACCCTCATTCTGCCTTTCCCACTCTCGTTCTGCCCGTCCCACTCTGCTTTCTCTCTTCCCCTTCTAGTACCCCTGCTCCCCTCCTCCCTTCTGTCCACCCCTCCAGCCCCCTGGGTGCTCCTTCATGTCTGCAGAGGAGAAGAAGAAGCGGAAGAAGGAGAAGTCGGGGTGCCCTGGGGAAAAGGGTGCCCTGCAGCGCTCCAAGACGCTGATGAACCTCTTCTTCAAGGGAGGGCGGCAGGGCCGATCAGCAGGGGACGGGCGCAGAGAGGCCTGGACATTGGACTGCGGGAGCTCGGCAAAATCCCGCCCTCACTTGGACATTGAAAAAAGTAAGTGCTGGGTGTATCGGATAGTGTCACTCACTCATTCACTCATTGTCCCAGAACCCACTCATCGTTAACCCCATAGGGGTTTTGGGAGACACTATAAATCTCATGGAAGAAGATTGCCCATCTTTCTCCCAAGGAGATGCTGCTGGTGGATTCAAACTGCCAGAGAGGTGTGGCCTTTGGTTTAGCAGAACTCCCTCGGGACTATGCCACCAGAGCTCCCCATCATATAGTGTGGACGGTGGTAGTGCCCACCAGCTTTAATGTCCAGCCATTCTGTCTTTAAGTTGAAGTGACAGACGAGTCATCACTCATTCTCTGGAAGGGTCTATTTCTTCCCGGTATAGTGAGGAATAAATAGTAATGTACATCACTTTGCATACAAAAGAGGCTCCAAAAGTGTGTTCATTGTTATACCGCTTCATGGTTCAGGAGACCGTCATAGAATCACAGCCTAACAAAGAAATGGAAGACCTCAAGTTAGGTAGACCCCCGGGCTTTTGGGTGGGGGTCACATCTGACAACCACCAGTAGGGGGCCCATCAATTTGGGTGCAAAATCAACCCTAAGCCTAGAGTTCCAAGGTGGCCAGAGTTCCACAAGCCCTGATTAGTTCTAGAACCCTCCTTGAATGAAGCCATTTCTATCCACAGCCTTGAGACCAGCAGAACTCGATGGTGCCCAGCTACCATGGCCAACCACTCTGAAAGGGACTATACCAGAGTGGGAGAAAACTGTGGAACAAACAAGAATATAATATTAATAATAATATAATATGATATAATAATAATAATACTAATAGAATAAAATACCAGGCTTACTGGTCTGATGAGACTGGTGGAACCTCTGAAACAATGGTCATTAGTCAGTCAGCCTTTAAACCTTTACATGAAGCTTTGTGCCTCAACTTTCAGCCAAACAATAGCCAGGCCTCTAGAATGAATAAAAACACAAGGGAGATAGTACGCCTTAGAAAAAGTAACCCTTAGGGGAGCTCTGGTGGCCTAGTGGCAAGGAGCTGCAACTATAATCCCAGAGGCGCACGGTTCGAATCCATCAGATGCTCTGCCGGGGAAAGAGGGACAATCTCCTCCTGTACCAGTCAGATCTGATTTGACGGTACACACACACACACACAAATAATAAAATTAAAAAAAAAAACAAAACAAAACAACTAAAAGAGACAAGAGATAAGAAAGAAGGAAATAGTAAATTCAGGGAGGAGAATGAGTTCTGTTACACTGCACTTCATGTTCATCAAAATGGGTATGAATTGTTGATTGGAAAACCAGTAGGCCTGCCCCAAGCTGCACTCGTGCCAAAGGTTTTCTAAAGCCCCTCACAGAGGCCCTCTCAGCTCTCCAGTGAAGTTCATTGAATGAATGAGTGAACACACTTGGGGTTGTGAATGACAGACCTCAGCTCCAACTGGCTTAACATTGCACTTCTTGGCTCAGTTACTGATTTTAGCTGGGTTCAGCAGTTTACACCATGTGGTTTGACATCTGCCCCGTCACCTTTTTGGTTCCACTTTCTCACAGGTGGGTGGGTTACACTATCACGCAGGCTTTATCCACTTGGATAAAGGCTCTTCACAGCCTCTGAGGAAGAGGCCTTCTCTCCCAAGTGTTCCACCCTAAGGTGGGCTCTAATTGGCCCAGCTGAGATTACATGTCCAGCTGTACAAATCGCTGTGATGTGAGAGAGGGAGAGGATTTACAGCGGTGAGACTGGGTCATGTGCCCACTCTGCAATACCTGTGCTGAGAAGGGAGGTAGGGCCGCCCCAGGGAAAAATCAAGGTACTGTTTCCAGGAATGGGTGTGGATGTTGGGCAGACAAAAACAATCAGAAGGCAAAGAGCTGCCTGAGTCCTGCCCCTCCTTGGGGTGTTGAATGATCTAGGGTCTCCAGATGACAGTCCCATGGGAGAGAATCCCTTCAAATTAGGACAGGCCAATCCTCCTGCCTCAATTCCTCTCTCTTCCCACAGTGCCCAGTACCTTGAGCTCTCCTTGTCCTCTTCCCACCTCTCTGGCCACTCTTCCCTCTCCTCCAAAGGCTCCTCTCTCTCCCTCTGTCTCTTTAAGGTAGGTAGTCCCTCAAGCTCCATCCTTGGGATTCTCCCCTCATATATCTTGTTTTCAAATGCATCTCTGTAAGCAGAACTCAGTCTGCCCCCTCTCTTGATCCAAGCCCTTCACTGTCTCCCTATTGCGGATAAATGAATTCCCTAGACTAAACATGGCCTTCAAAGACCCCCATGGCCTGACCTCTTACCTCCTTGCCCAGCCAGTCCCAAGCCCTCTCAACCCCCATTCTCAGACTGAAACCAGGGCTTCTGATTGAACCTCTTTTTTTTCCATAGCAGGGGGAGTGGGGCCTGTGCAGAAGTTTGTCACCTGGAGACTGCGACGTGGTAAGTCATGCCTTTTTTCACCACAGCCTGGCTCACACAGGGCTAGAGATGGGGCTGCACACTGGGTGCTAAACTAAGGGGCTTTGGGCTAAACTCAGCGGGCAGCAATCTTGGGAAACTCATCCAAAAAGGAGAAGCAGCTAAAATTTACTGAAAAACTCAGGGTTGTATGCAGATTTAGAGGTGTATTTTATGGAACTTAAAGGTTTGGTTGGAACTCACAAAGAAAAATTTTAGGGAGCCAGGGATACCAGTGAGGGACAGAGGGTGCAGGCATGGGGTCAGGAGCATTGTGTTGAGGCTCTATTAAAGAACAAACTGGTTTGGGGTTTCTAATTGACTGGCAGAGGGGTCTGGATTTGAAACTCCATTAGTGGGAGTCCATGATAGGAAGGATAAGGGCTAGGATGCCATGTGGGAATTTCACCATGTTACTCTGTTCCTACTCCACAGACCGGGAGAGGGGTCGGGCCCTGCTCTATGCCAGGTCTGGGAGCCCCTCCAGTCAATTCCAGCACAATGTGGATGAGCGGGTGCAGGCCTGGGAGAGCCGCAGGCCTCTCATCCAGGACCTGGCCCGGCGGCTGCTGACGGATGATGAGGTGTTGGCTGTCACTCGCCACTGTTCTCGGGTGAGCGCCTGTCCCGTGGTTACTTAGTCACCCAGGTCCAATTAATTCAAAACACTCACTTACCTAATCTCAAATGATGAGGATGGCACAGGACACAGGGTCACTGTAAGTCGTACTTGACTCAACAACACCTAACAACAACAACAACCCACTAGTCAGTATAATTGGCTCAGTGCTGAGAGGCCAATGGTCAGCAAAACCCAATGTCCCCCAACCCCCTTCCCCATAACTAAGTTAGAAAGGAGACGAAGACAATAATTAGAGCCTAAACATATGCCCAAACTTGGTATTTAATATCTCATTATTGGCAAAAAAAATATTAAATCTGTCTTAGAAGACATGCAACCAGGGTACTTCTTAGAAGCAAGGATGGTGAGACTTCATCTCACATACTTTGGGAATGTTGTCAGGAGGTACCAGTGTTTGGAAACAGACACCATGCTGGGAAAAGTCAGTGGAAAAAAAGGAAGACCCTCAATGACATATGGATTGACACAGTGAGTTTAACAATGGCCTTAGGCATGGCGGAGCTTGTGAGGATGGTGCTGGGCAGGGCAAGGCTTCTCTCTATTGTTCACAGGGTCGCGATGAGTCATAGTTGACTCAACACCATCTAATAATAACAAAAAGAAATATGAGGAGTTACCACAAATTGGAATAGACTTGAAAGCAACAACAATTAACACCTCAAATGCTATGAAAGCAAAGGACGTGATGAAATAACCAGGGAGGCACAAATTAGATGATGGATCTGGCAGGTCTCTGAGGAAGTGATATTAGGTTGAGGAGAGAGGGAGCCAGGAAGTGATGAGTAGGGGAAGTGAGTCTCTAATGCCTTACATCTGCCCTCCTCTAACTCCTTGCCAAGCCTGCTCTCTTGTTACCCTGGTAACTGATCCTTTGTTCTTCATATACACCTCAAGTTATTCCAACATACACTGTTAGTCTCAGTTCTGTTCCACTTAAACAGAACCAGAGGTCCCCAGGGTGGTTGCAAGGTAAAATTGTCTTGTACCCTGGATGCTGGGGAGGCTGCTGGAGCCTCTGCTCCACCTCTTGGCAGGATTGGAGGGGTCCTCCCCTCAGCAACCCCCATCCCATCCTCTGGGTTTCCTGGGATGAACAACGCAGGAGCGTGCTTGTGTAAGAACAAGGACAGGAATTTCAAGAAATTTTTGTGGGTCTCCTTACTCTCTCTTTCTCTTTGGCCCACGAGGGGCTGTGTGGGGCTGTGTTCTGTGTTTCTAGGAGGAGTGATTTGCATGTCTGAGGGACTGAGTTTGTGTTGACTTGACTGTATGATTGTACCTGGGTGTGAACGTGTACGCACACGTGTCCAGCTCATGCATCTGCGTGTCCCTACATGTTACTGTAGGTGTCAGGCTCACCCAAAGGGCCCTAAGTGGTTCTCACCATACCATCGAGGGTGAGCCTGCAGCTTTGGGCTCTGACCAGTAGGTGGGGCTCTGTGTCTGTTTCTTTGGTCAGCTCCTTGCTTCACTTTGTTCTTATCTTTCACTTTTAACTTGCCCGAACCAAGACTTCTTCCCATTGTACCCTCAGATGGCCTGGTTGTTCTATACACATCCAGACGTGACCGAAGATGCACCCACACCATAGGCTCACATCTGAGGAACTCCACCTAATGCTCTCCTAGTGGCTTGGATGCATAGCCCTGAACCCCAAGCCTGTCCCTTTTCTCCCCTTCTGAGTTGTTTCCCCACAGCTGCCAGACCAGACCTTGTAAACCGCTTTGCTGATCATTTTACATGCCTCCCTTCCACACCTGGTCCTCCACCAGCAACCCCTTATCTTTGACAGACTCAAGTGCACGTACACACACATTACAGGTGCACAAAAAAAAAAAAAATCCTTACCCTCACGCACAAATCCCTTCCTTGATCTGGCCCTTCCCGCTAACCTGGGTTTTCTTACCGTCTTCACTTGGCACCAGGGAATTTATAGATTTTTAAACTGTACACCTCTAGGTGGCGCTACTCACAAACGCTAATCACACACTGCACAGCCCCCCATGGAGGCCCTCCAGGACCCCACAGTCTGGCCAACCCTCTCTCTACTCGCTGTTCTGTGTCACCACCTTGCAACGCTTCCCCCTACTTTCAGGCTGTTCTCTCCATCTGTCCTACAAAAGCACAAATGTCATCGCCCCCGTGAAGCCCACTCTGACCCCCCTGCTCTGAGATACCCCTCACCCCTCTCCAGTGTGTAGTAGCTCATTGGGGCATGTGGCTCATTTGCTCCTCTTATCTGGTAAGCTGGGTCCCTATGAGTTTGGGACTGGATCATCATTGTGCCCCGATTGTCCAGTTAAGGGCTTGCCACTTGAGTGTGGTATGCAGGTGGGTGGAGCTGACATGTGTGCAGCAGGGTAACTGATTTCAGTTACATTGTACTGTCTGTGTGTGTGAGAGAGAGAGAGGAAGAGAGCGAGTGAGAGGAAGAGAGAGAGAGTGAGAGAGAGGGCGCTGTTTATACTCTTACATGTAGTTTAGGGCTACACACAGAGTTCATATTTTATTTATTTCCAGGTACTTGTGAATGGCTTACCCTGACCACTAGAGCCCACAGTGGGTTGAAAGGATGCTCTATCTGAGAATCAATGTATGCCTCTGAGTGTGTGTGTGTGTGTGTGTGTGTGTGTATAGTGTGAGCCAGTGTGTGTTACTCTCTTACCACCAGAGGGTGGTATGTTGGCCAAGCTGAACAGCTCCCAGAGTTCAGTTCGCTGGTGTTGATGACAGTGGGGAGTGGCTGGTGGCATCTGAGCAGTGCCAAGCAGAAAGGGCCCTACCCCAGGGTAACTTGTACAGCCATCCCTGGCCCCAGGTCTCCTTCTGGCTCTGAACAAAGCCTGACTCGTACGGAGATGGTCATAGCCACAGTCCAGTGTTTGGGAGGTGAGAGAGAGGAGGCATCTTCTCCCCCTGCACAGCCATTTCAGATGAGATCCAATCCCTCTCCACACTTCCTTGTCCGTGTGGTCTTGAGCAAAGCTCTGCTCTCGGAAACTTACTTAGTCTCTGTATCTGCAAAATGGGAATAAAACCCCCACACCAAGCCCACTGCTGTCCAGCTGGTTCTGTCTCATGGAGGTGCTGTCTGGTTTCAGAGACAATACATCTTTACAAACAAGAGTGCCCATTTCCACCCCTCCCCCCCATTTTTGCTGCTTCTGGATTCCAACAGGCAACCTATCAGTTAAGTAGCCTAACATGCAACATCACGAGGACTCCTTAAATGGCATAATTAAGGTTATCGGCATGGTGATTAGAGAGCAAACTGGGAGACCATATGTAATTTGCTTAGTACTGGGCACAAAGTTGTGACTGTTTTTTTGCTATTGTTGTTAGGTGTCAACGAGTTGACTAAGACTCACAGGGACCTTAAGAACAACAGACGTGAACCTTACCTCATTGTGCACCGTCCTCAAGCTCATCACCATGTTCAAGCCCAATGTCAATGGAGTCACTATGTCAATCCCTCTCTTTGATGGTCTTCCTCTCTTTCTCACGACCCTCTACTTTTCCCAGAATGATGTCTCTCTCCAAGGGCTGTTATCAGTGTATTATTAATACTTCAGGCTCTGTCTAGTCTAGATAAGACCATCCTGTGGATAGCCTGAGAGTGGGGAGAAGTGTTCCTAGAGCTTGGAGGGGTAGGTGGGTCCCAGGCATTTGCCCTCATCTAGCTCTGGAAGTTCACACTGCTATCTGACCTGCGGTCCCTTTGTCCACAGTATGTGCACGAGGGTGGTGTGGAGGACCTGGTGAGGCCCCTGCTGGCCATTCTTGACCGGCCGGAGAAGCTGCTGCTGCTGAGGGACATCAGGTGGGGAAGGGGCCATGGAGAAGGCATGGGGGCAGGAAGGGGCCTCCTGAATACCCTCCCCCTAACGTTCTCAAGGCTGAAGCCTCCTGGCGCCTTCAGCATTGAGCCCACCTCTTGGCCTCTCCCAGGAGTGTGGTGGCGCCCACAGACCTGGGCCGCTTCGATAGCATGGTGATGCCGGTGGAGCTGGAGGCTCTGGAGGCCCTCAAGAGCAGAGCAGGTCAGCCGCTAAGGGGCAGGGCTTCTGCCTCCCATGAGCCCTGTCTCCTGGGTGGGGGTGAGGGTAGGGTCTCCCAGGGAAGAGGTGGCCAGAGACAGCTGGAGATGCTCAAGCTATGTCCAGCAGGGAGCCTGGCATAGGCACCTTGCCTCTGACCTGCCTCCCTCTCCAACCAGTCCGGCCTCCAGCTTTGCGGCCAGCCCGGCAGGACACACCACCCAAGCGCCACCTCATCACCCCTGTGCCTGGTTAGTCAGAGTTCTGCAGTCTCGGGAAGGGGTTCCATCCTGGGAAAATGGGGGCATCAATGGGCCCTCTTCATGGGGCAGCTTGGAGCTTCCCCAAAGGAAAGCCCTCATCCTCCAGAACCATATGGAGCACATTGCCGCATCGCCTGTACTATGACTGACTTAATCATTGTTTGCAAACCCACTCACTTTTTAAATTTAGTCTCGTTCAGTGCAATCTCTGTGAAGCCACCAGTTTGTTGGGTATGCTATTTATGGGTTGGTTTTGGGGTTTCCCCCCCAAAACACATTAAAATAAAACTTGAACTATGAAATACTAAACACCAAACCCAAATCCACTGTCACTGACTCAATTCAGACTCACAGTGACCATCCATCAGGTCTCCCAGACTGTAAATCGTTACAGCTGGAGACTGCCCAGCTCTTTCCCATTCATCAGTCAAATGATGGATTCAAACTGCCAGCCATTGGATTAGCAGTTCAACACACAGCACATGAAGCCACCAGGCCTCCCTATCCAGAACCGACCCATAACTGACCCTCCAGCAGGTTTTCAGAGGCTGTAAATTAGACAGGAAGAAACACTGCTCTAGTAGAACCTATTTGCCTGCCCTGGTGGGAAGCAGCCCTTACTAAAAGCAATGCGGAACCATGTCTGGTTCTCAGCCCTCACAGGGAAAGGCAAGGGCTGCAGGCTGGAGGGCTGGGCTGGGGGACCTGCTCCTGTTGAGAGGTGAGAAGTGATCTAAGCTTGGCTTTCTTCCCCAGACAGCCGTGGAGGCTTCTACCTGCTGCCTGTGAATGGTTTCTCAGAGGAGGAAGATGATGGAGAGTTGAGGGAACGACTGGAGGGCCTCAAGGTCTCCCTTGGTACCTCAAGTTCCCACCATTCCCACAAAGGGATTCCCCCTCTTCAAGATGTGCCAGTAGATGCCTTTGCGCCACGCCGAGGTGCCTGCACACCCCATCCCCAGCCACCACCAGTTGCTCCAAGGCCCCCACGGCCTAACTGGCTGTTGGCTGAGCCTCTGACCCGAGAGGACTCTGGGCATATCCCAAACCAGGGCCCTACTCAGAGCCGCAGCCGGAGCCGCAGCCGCAGCCGGGGTCGAGGCAAGTCTCCTGGACTCAGGCGCTCTCCCTCCCCTGCACCTGTCCCCACTCCCAGCACAGCCAATGGGCGCTACCACAAGCCTCGGAAAGCCAGGCCCCCTTTGCCAAGACCTCTGGATGGGCCAGCAGCCAAGGCAGGGGACAGTCAGGAGCATTCAGAGAATGGAACTGACAGAACCCCAGCCAAGGAGGCAACCCCAAAGACCCCTAGCGGGGAGTTGAGGACAGTCACCCTGTCCAAGATGAAGCAGTCGTTGGGTGAGTCTCAGTGACCTGGTGCATAGTCTGGTGAGGTTGGTAGACTTAGTTTGAGGGTATGGATAAAGGACCCAAGAATATACCCCTAGGTGTTAGGGTACAGCCAGGAGTGTAGATTTAAAGAGTTGGGGTTCTGGAAGACCAGGATTGATTTTGGAGTGAGTCTACAGTAGTGACGAAATCTGGGGAGTTGAGAGAAGTTGGCTGGCCCAGATCTAAAGATGGGGAGGCCTCTGTTTCTTTTGGGAGCTCTGTGGGTGTGAGGGTGTGACTGTAAACTCACGCAGTTTCTCCCTCTTATTAGGCATCAGTATTTCTGGGGGCATTGAATCTAAGGTGCAGCCCATGGTGAAGATAGAAAAGATCTTCCCTGGGGGTGCTGCCTTCCTCAGTGGGGCTCTTCAGGTGAGTGGGGCATACATTCCTTTGGCCCAAAGCAAGGGGTGAGACTGGGTGAAGGTTATCTTCCAGGCAGACCTGGGAGAAGGCCTGAGACCAGGTGGTGGGAGGAGGCTTAGAGGCAGGCAAGGGTCAAGCATGCAAGAAGAACAGGCTTACAGATAAATCTGTCCCCTCATGCCAGCCTGAGCCTAAGGGCGGCCCATCCTGTTCCACCCCCAAGTCCTAAGGGACAAAAGGCCATTGTTTGCGCCCCACCCTGCCCCCAGTGGCTCCAGGCACAAAAGTACCATTGTCCATCCTCTCACCCAGATGGGGGAGGAGTATCCTATCTGGTAGAGGTACAGGAGGCCTCTTTTAGGTTGTGTGGTGGGTTGAGTGTGACCTGAGAGCGGACTAGATTCTCCTCCCTTCAACCCAGGCTGGCTTTGAGCTTGTGGCTGTGGATGGAGAGAGCCTGGAGCAGGTGACCCACCAGAGAGCGGTAGACACCATCCGGCGGGCTTATCGAAACAAGGCTCGGGAACCGATGGAGCTAGTGGTCAGGGTCCCTGGGCTCAGCCTACTACCCCTGCCCTCTGATTCTGCAGCCCTCACTAACCAGCATCTTCCCACTGCCCCAGCCCCTACCCACTGAAGTCTTTCTTGATGCTTCTCCAGTCTCATCCACTGGCTCTCAGAACCTCCTCTCCATGCCCAGATGCCCTTCTCACCAACATAACCTCTCTCTACTTATCCCATGATCCCTAGACTGTCTCCTGGACTTCTCTTCAGAACATGCTCAGAAGTCCTCTCAAATCTGCACCAATTGCTCTGATCTTCGACTTTTCTATCATTAACACTCTGCCTTTTTCAGGTGTCCAAGTACAAGGTGCTACTGGAAAGGCTGTCACCTGAATTCATCATCTACTCCTCATAGGTCCATAAATTTAAGGCTTCATGAAACTTAGAGGTACTTTCTCACAATTCTCCCAAGCACAGAGGGACACAGACTCTCAAACAGAGCCCTAAAGGAGTCATCAAATTCACTTTCCAGTCTCAAGCAGCATATGTTATGAAGGACATAATGGCTCTCCTAGCCCTTCACCCCATGACAGACATTTCAGGTTGTGGTCTACTAGGACCTCCAATTTTCTACTGAATTTGCTTCTTTCCTTAAGACCTCTGAGGGGTGTGGGGAAGAAGGACATCAAGGAAGTTCCTACAATCTTCATCTAATACTTTTTTAAAAACAAAATTTTTTTTTAATTTTTTCTTTGGGTTTGTTTGTACAAGAAATTTACAGTGTGAAAAATATACAAGTGAAAACGAGGCCATAAACCTGGGTGTGGGTTAGGGCGGATTGGTCACAAATAAACAAGACATTTCTTGAGTTCTTCCTTTGGTCTGACTACAAGCTCCCCCCTTCACCCCATGAGAGGTTACAGAGCTGAAACCTGAGGATGAGACCCCAGTTTCAGCCCTGTTCCCCAAGACAGGGAGGGTGGGAACAGGCACATCTGGAGCAGCTGGCGCCATCTGGCTGTCTCTGGCTTGGGGTTGGGGAAAAATGTGGAGATGAAGGAATCCCTTCCTCTTTCCAGCTCTGCTAGCTAGGGCAAGCTGGGGAGTGTTTGGGTGACTGGAGTTGGCAAAGTGGCATTGGTGGCAGTTAAGGAGTGAAATAGAGTGAGTAGGAGCCTTAGGTGAGTAAACAGGGACCTTCATAGGGTCTGAATTTGCTCCTGCAAGCCATGGAGCCATCCCCAGTTCCTGGCAGTGGCCCAGAGGCCTGGATCCCAGGGCAAGTGGCTGTGTGTCCCTCAGGGCCTGAGTGGACATGAGGCTTCTGCTGTCTTCAGCAGAGCTCCCTGCAAGCTGGATCTCAGGACCCTAGATTTCGGTAGCAGTGATCTCCTCTAGGCAGATGCAGGGGGCCGGCTCGGCCAGGCCCAGGTCAGCGAGCTCCCGGGCCTCCAGCTCCAGGCTGAGCTGCTGCAGTTCCTGCTCCAGCTGCCGGTTGCGCCGGTACATCTGGATGTAGTTGTGCTGCAGCTGCTTCTGGTAGCGAATCACCTGCTCCTTCTCCGCCTGCCAGGCCTGCCTCTCCCCTTCGAAGCTGTCGCGCTGCTCCTCACCCCGTCGCCGTTCCTGCTGCAGCTCTGCCCGCAGCCGCTCCACCTGGGCCCGCAGGCTGCCCCCAACCCCTGCTGCTGCCCGCTGTGCCTTGGCCTCGTCACTCTCTGCCAGGAGGAAGGGGTCAGCAGTGGTGGGCGGCACAGGGGGCTCCCGAAGTCCAGCCACCTCGGCATCCAGCTGCCCAGCTTTCTCCCGCAGCCGCTCTGCCTCATGGCGATGTCGCTGCAGCTCCTGGGAACAGGCGTCCAGCTCCAGCTCCCGTGCCCGGGCTGCCTCCTGGAGACCCCGGGCCCGGCCCTCACTGACCCGCAGTGAGGCCCGGGTCTCCCGAAGCGCCACTCGCAGGGCCACCAGCTCACTGCCCTTCTGCACCAGCTCTGCCTGAGATTCCTTCAGTTGCTGCTTCAGCAGGGAGATTTCACCAGACTTCTGGCACACCTGGGGGACAGTGAGGGGTCACGTTGGTCATGGGAGACACTGTGGAAGCATCGTCCAGGCTTGTCTGAGAACCGGGGTGACAGGTGGTACATAGGTGGGATAACTAAAAGCAGTGCCCATGTTCCTAACTGATAGGAAATAAAATGTATTGGTCAAAAAGACATTAAAGCTGACTGACTGGGTTAAAAAAATCTCAGCCTGAACATTGACTAGGTGTGATTTTGAACTCCAGCCTTTCTGAGCATCAGTTTCTACATCCTAAGTGGAGTTAATAATAGCACTCACCTCTCAGGTTGTTAAGGATTAAACAATCAACATAACATGCTTAGAATAACACCCAGCACAGAGCAAATACTACATTCTTATTGTCTGGAAAGCAGGTAAGGGAAGAACCTGGGCACTACACCAGAACCATGGGGAGACACCCTCCACCCCCAAAGAAAAGGACGTGAGGGAGTCAGCACACAGGGGTGTGGAAGGGGAAGTCTTCTGTGGGAGCACACCGAGAGGGGGTGTGTCCTTGTAGGGCCCTGCTCCCTGTCCCCTGCCTCCTGGTCTGGCCCACCTCCCACTTGGTCTCCTCCAGCCGTGGTCCCAGCTCCCGCTGCTCCCTCTCAAAGGCTGCACAGCGCCGTTCCAGCTGCTCGCGCTCCTGGAGCAGCTGTGCGAAGTCGTCCTGCAACTGCCGCTTCTCCTGCTGCAGCTGGAAGACCTGGAGCTGCAGGAGCTGCTGGGCCCGCTGAGCCCGCTGGGCCACCTGCTGCGCCTGGGCCGCACAGTCCTCTCTCGGCGGCTCCCGCGGCCAGTGCCGCCGATCCTCGTACACCTGGGGGAGAGAAGGCAGGCCTGGGTCCCGGACAGCCCCCTGCACCTCCAGCCCCGCCAACCCAACGCCCTGCTCACTGACTGCACTGATGGGCCTGAGCTCAGGGAGGGCTGATGACATTATTACAGCAATAGTAACAACCACCTCTTATAATAGTAACAAATGCTAACACTAGCAGGCGTTCACATGGCACTTTTTAGGTGCCAGGCCTTATTCGCAGTCCTTGACATCCTCTGCATTACTTAATAATTTTAATAGTCCTATGAAGCCAGAAATATCCCCATTTATAGATGCAGAAACTGAGGTGCAGTAAGCGTTAAGTGACTTGCTCAAGCCCCAAAGTGGATGGTGGTGGTGGATTTGAATCCCTTCAGCCTGATACCTCAACCACTTTACAGGTGAAGCCAGACAGCCGGGGTGGGGTCAGGGTCACAACATCCAACACCCAGCCCAGCACCAACAGAAATGATCCCTAGATCCCTAGCACCTCTGATGCTCTGCCGTGCCACCTCCCCCCATGATCGCCGCTGACCACACCTGGCACACGGTCGCCTCGCTCTCATCCAGACTGTCCCGAAGCTGCTGCAGCTCTGCTTCCCGGTCTCGGAGCTTTCCTTCCAGGACACAGTGCAGCAGGGCCTCATCCGAAGGGGGTGGAGGGGGTGGAGGTGGTGGGGAGCGCTCCCCACAGGAACTGCTATCAGGCGAGGCCCGGGGACCACTGCTCAACAGTCCTCCAGCCATGCGGCCACCCAGGGAGCCTGTGCTCTTGCTGGAGGATGACCGGCCACTGTCCGAGTGGGAGGGCCCAGTAGGGGCCCCTCGGGCTGGCCCAGGCAGCGGACCCCGCCCAGGGCCATGGGCGGGCAGGTGCCCACTAGGAGAGCTGGTGGCTGGCTCAGCACCTCCAGTGCTGTACGTAGGCAGACTGGACAGTGAGTTCCTGCCAGAGTCGGACAGTGTCCCAGATGGGCACCCACTGGTCCAGCCACTTAGTGCGAGGGGCTTGTCGGCGGTCGAGGAGGAAGAGGAAGAGGAGGAGGAGGAGGCAGGGCCTCCAAACAGCTGTGTCAGGCTGCCCTGGCTCCCAGACAGCCCAGAGGCCCGAGGACCCAGGAAGCCAGGTAGGGATGGTGCCCCTCGAGGTTTGGGCAGCACTGGCTTGAAGGCTGTTGGGCGGATCAGGATTTTCTCCATGTTCTGAAATGAGGCAGCCACGTGACACTGGGGATGAGCTGCCCTCATCACAGTCCCAATCCCCATACATTTACAGAAGTTGCTAGTACCAAATAAAGGCCGACTGAGAGTGGGCTTAATGTCAAGTGATTTTAGAAGGTTAATTGCCAATCATCCCACTAGTCATTACAGCAAAATATTATGACCAGCCCAGTATTAGGAGCCCTGGTGGGTCGAGTGTTACATGTTGGGCTGCTGAACCGAAAGGCTCGCAATTCAGCCCCACCCGCATCGTGAGGAAAAGATTAAGAAGTCACCCTTCAGGAGTTACGTCTTCAGAAGTCTGACTGAGGGTTATCATCAGTGAGAATCAGTCTGATGGCAAAGAGTTTGGTTTTTCTGAGTTTTATCCCAATATTACAGATGAAGAAATAGAGGGTCAGCAAAGCTAAAAGCCTTGTCCAAAGTCAGAGCTATAACAACAATAATTTAAGCAGTTAGTATTTACGGAACACATGCCATGTGCCAAGCGCTATGCTAAGTACTTTGCATACATTATTTAGTTCTCAGAATGATCCTGTGGGGGGACTGATCTATTATCTCCAATTCACAGATACTTCAATTTCAAAGAAGTCAGAGATTTTTCTGAGCTCATATGGTCACAATGAGGCAGAGGTGAAGTTAGGATCCTGGTTTGTGAAGATGTAGCCCATACTCTTCCCTCTAAAAAGCCTCTAATTTCTAGCTTTCCCCAGGCCATTCCTGACTCCACCCTGGCCCCACAGGAAGGGCTAATCCTCACCTTTTCCAGCTTTCCAGAGACAGGGATGAGCTTTGGTGGGGGACCCCGGAGGTGGGCATTGTGTGCCCGTTGTTCTCGGGTATCTTCAACATCACTGCTGGGACTGGGAGGTGATTCTGTCCGGAAGTCCTCGTTGATGTAGGTGAAGCTGGTGGCGGGGATAGCTTTCCTCGGGGGCACAGCTGGGCATAGTGGCTCTTGTGCTCCATAGCCACCCCGAAGCAGACCATCTTGCTGGCGGAAGAAGGTGGGTCCAGGAGGGCCATGGTGTCGGGGTGGAGCTGGCCCCCCAGGGCAGGGCCGGCCTGAGATGAGGCTGCTCACGCTGCCCATGGCCGGAGCTTGTGGGGCAGTGGCGGCCTCAGGGGTGGGCTCCAGTGGCACCGGCAGGGTCTGTACAATAGCCATGGCAGCAGAGGCTCAGGTCTGGCCAAGGGCCTCTGGGACAACCTGTGAGCAGGGTCATGAAATCATTTTAAGCCTCCCTAGAACTATAGCCTCTCCCGACCTCGTGGCCCAGGCAAAACACTCCAACCCCTAACAAGTCCTAATTCTCTCCCAAAGCCTCCCTTCTGCCAACCACAATTCTCCTTGAGCTCCAATCAATGCAAACTCTGGTCTAGATGGGTCTAGAAATGAGTCCCCTGAGCACAGAGAGGAGACTGCAGGGACCCTCAACAGAAAAGGCCAAGGTTGAGGCCCAAGCTTCCAGAGAGGCTAAGACTCAAGTTAGGGAGGAAGCCTCCCCTACCAGCTCCAGGCACAAATCCCTGGTCCCCTGGGACAGGTGGCCTCATTACAGGGCAGGCTGGGCAGAGGCAACCTCAGGGACGCCATCAGCAACTCAGATGGTAATTAGGGAACAAAGAGCCAAGGCCAAGCAGTGGCCCAGCCTCTCCCAGCTGGGCCTCAGTTTCTCCTAGACAGAGAGGCGGCAAAGGTAGAGCCTGCCAAACAAGAAGCCCAGACCTCTTAGGGAGCCCACAGGTGCCCTCTGGGGTCTCCTCCCTCTCAGAGGTGGAAGGAGGGTCACATTTGTCTCCATGACAACCCCTAGCCTCCCCAGACCTAGGTCAGGCCTAAAGGAAAATATGCAGCCGGCACTCCACAGCCAACTTCTACAAAAGCTAGTTCCCCAAAGTGACCCCAAAAGGATGAAGGTAGATGCCCCTTCTTGAGCAAATCCTTCCAAACCAATGGCCCAGCCCTCACCTCTGGCAGCTGCTCCTGGATCTCACTTCCCTGGAGTGCAGAGAAAAGGGCTCCACCTCCCCAGGCCCTGCTCCTTCCTGGGAGGGGACAGCAAGCCTCCACCCGGAACTCCCTCCTCAGTCCTAAGGCCGATGACCAGAACTTAGGCATCTGCTGAAGTCATCATGCAGAGTAGGGGCCAAGAAGTGCGGGAGCAAGAGTGTGTATTTACCGGGGGGTTGGGGGTGGCGGCGGTGACACTATGGTTAACCCATGCCCACACCATACTGCTGTTACCTCCTCAGAGTGACCCTACAGGCCACAGCAGAACTACTCCCTGGGGTTTCCAACACTGCAACATTTACAAAAGCAGGTCGCCACATTTCCATCCTGCAGAGCAGCTAGTGGGTTCAAACTACCAACCTTTTGGCTAGCGGCTGAGCACTTAACCTCTGCACCACTAGGGTTCCATGACTATAGGTACCAAACAAAACCAAGCTCACTGCCATTGAGTTGATTCTGTCTCACCGAGACCCTCCACTATGTTTCCAAAAAGGTAACTCTCTTTGGGAAGAAAGTGTTCCTCGGTCTCCTACACAGCAGCTGGTAGATTCGAACCCTCAACCTTTCTATTACCACAAATCCATTATGCAGTGTGCCATCAGAGTTCCTTTATTTGTAACAGGAGAAGGAGAATGAACAGTGTGTGCCTGTGTGTATGTGAAAATGGGGGAGAAAACATCGACTGCATGTGAAAGAACATATTTGGACAGTACAATCATATGCAGGACATGAGGAATGTGTGGATTCACATGTTCAGTTTAGAAGAGAATATGGATAAATCAGGGTGACTATTAGAATGTATGTGAATGCTATGAATGCATGAGTATTGGTAAGTGAATTTCATAGATGAGTGAAGGTACCATAGAATTGTTTGGTCATATACAATGTCACAAGTCTACACCACTGTAATGTGTAACCGTGTGTGTATCTTGCATGTATATAGAAAGGATGAACATTATGGGTGTGAAGGAGGTGTCATCCAAGTGTGTCCAGAGGACTGGATGTGGATGTGAGCATGCTTGGGAGCCTGTTTTCACGCCCATTGGAGTGTGAGGAGGTGAGATACTGTTATTCCACTTCTTTGTCTAATCTGGTCCCAATCTTTCTTGCCTGTGCTCCAGAAGTTCACCTCCCTCCTCTGAACCCAAGTCAAAAAGACCTCTAAAGCCCAGGAAGGTGTCCAGACCCAGGGGAGAGGAGCTGAGAGCTGGGAAGGGGATGAGAGGTGTTCGGGGAGAAATCACACAGCCTTCTGTGAAGTCAACACTGAGAACACCCCACGAGCCCCAGCTCTGATCCAGGTGCACAGGACCCCTGCCTCTCTTTCAGGTCCTCCTTCCCCTCTGCGACCACCCCAGGGCACGAGAATAGGGGGCAAGCAGCTTCTCGGGGTGCAGTAGGGGCTGGCCACTGTGTCTCCATTTGTCCACTTTGAAGAACAGAGAAAATGAAAACTGAGGGGAGGAGACAGACTGGGAGAGACAGACAGGGATCCCAAAGAGAGAGAGAGAGAGAGACAAAGACTCGGAAAGATCCAGAGAGTCGGACAGAAAGCAAGATCGGTCGGCCCAGTGGGGCAGGACCCCTCAAGTCGGAGACAAAGCTGGGCCCCCAGAGCCAGACAGCCGGGGAGTCCCAGCCAGGCGTCTGGAAGGCCAAGGCCCAGCCGGGGCTCCCGCTCTCCGAGCCGAGCGAGAAGGAGGGGCGAGCCAGGCTCCATTTTGAGAATCGCGTCTGTGGCTGTGGGAAAAGGGAACCCCTCGCCCTCCCAGTATTCCCTGGGAAATCTCTGTGGCCTGGGGAGCCCCCGTGCAATGGGCTGAAGGCTGGATGGCGGGCGGGGGCTCAGCCAGGGCCACAGAGGGGGCTGGCCAAGGTCCAGGCTCCCACTGACCTCAGTGTTCCGGGCAGAGGAGTTGGGGAAAGTCTCCCCCCACCCAAACTCCAAGGATTGCGGCGAAGCGGGCTCTAGTCTAGGATCACGAGTTCTCATTCCGCGACAGGAAGCCGGAAGCCTCCAACCCACCCTCAAGAGTCCAAAGAGCTCCCCCACTTGCAGAAAGTGGGGGCAGCTGTGGAATGTCGTCTCCCCACTTGGCTCTCCGGCGGGCAGAAGTTAGGGGCGCCCCGCGTCGCCTCCCAGCTGCGACCCCCCCCTCACCTCCACCGCGCTGCTCCATGCTCAGCCCCGGGCCGCCCCCAGCGCTCCACAGGCGCGCGGCCGGCTCCAGCCCGCGCGCGGCCAACACGGAGC